CGCGCGAGCCTCGTGGCTGTCGTGCAAGGGCTGGGGAGAAAGCGCCTGTAAAGCTGTGGTTTGTGGGGTGGCGGGGTGCCGTGTACCCCCGCAGGCCTGCACGTGCGCGGCTGTGCGTAGCCGTGTGCCCGTTTCCAGCCGTCTTTGCAAAGCAAAGCTTGATCCCCGCGGGTGTTCCGACGGGCCGAGCGCAGGAAGGCCGGACAGGGGCGTCTTGGGTGTGGGCGCCATGTTTGAGGGGGTGAAGTTCCTTCATTGTGTGTCTTAAGAAACTCTCTTTACGCTTCGTGCGCGTTGCAGCGCAAGGTCCGGCAGCAGTAATACACCAAATGGTCGGTTTTTCCAGCTGTTGGGCTTGTCGTTATCCGTTTATGCCGGTGTAAGCTGTTTGAAACCAGTCGACGCTGTCATCACGGCACCCCGGAAGCCTACCGGAATGCCCCGCCTCTGGGAAGGAGACCAGAGGCCTTCCTGGGCGCTGGCCCCCTGCCGTTGGCTTGTTACGAGGGTGCAGGCCGCTGGCAGCGGGGCCGGAGGACAGCTCCCCAGCGGTTTAATCTACTGGCGCAGCCAAAGCGTAACCACGAAAAGCAACCTGATTCCCGGTAAGCGTCAATTCACTATCCAAGGTTACAATTCCCTTGGAAAAAAATCAGAGATCGGCACGTCAAAAATGGTGGCAAACCACTCTCCTAGAAGACGCGGTCACAGGTAAGGGCAAGCCTGGAACCTTCTGCTGCCACGAAAGCAATGGACGGCGGCAGCAGGGGTCCAGCGTGGTTTCCAGTGGGTGCGGGTGTCACCTTGGCCAAGCCGTAGTTGCTTAGGCCTCTGACGAAGAAGAAAGACTTGGAAGTTCTCAGTGTGCGCTCCCACGTGATCACTCTCTCCAAATCACGTGAGTACAGTCTCTCCTTTTCCCGGCTGTCCATTTTCCCCAGGCTTTATTAGAAATTTGTTATCTTTGAGAGTCTACCGATCGCAAAATGGCTGAAGCTTCTTATTAGAAGTGGACCTGTAGTGCAACTATATGTGCAATATTTTCTAGAAAAAGAAGGTGGAAAGGAATTATTTTAAACCTGCTAGCTAACACGGTTTCCGTATGCCTCGCCACTCTGCATGTGTTCAGTTACATACAAAATACAGAATCTAGAAAAAGCTCAAGAAAACAGTTCAAACTGATACATTTACTTAAACCTAGTTCTTCGTTTCGCATGCAGAAAAACGTTTTTCAGAGGAGGAATGAGTACAGTGTAAGCAAATAGGATGCTTACAGTTGAAATATCTTTCATGCCACAATACATTTTGTTTGCTTTTCCGTTTGCGCTGATGTCTTAGTAATTCTTCCATTTCTTACTTACAGCATGCAGTCTGATGAATTGTGTGTGTTTCTTTTACCAGGCTTGAAAAAGTGCCAAGCGGGGTATCCCTTCTTTATTACAGTCTTACTCTTCCCTTCCAGGCACCTGTGAGACTTAACTAAATGAAGCGTTAAAGGTCTGCGCGACAAGTGGTAACCACAACGGAATAAAGTACAAGGTGCTGTGCCGTTTCTCCGTTATTGTCTGAATTCTGCCTTGCCTTTATTTTTATCACAGTGGGGCATCAAATCTAAAGTCTTATGACGCCAAGGTAAACATCAGCATTTAAATTTGAACTGTTTCACTGCAGATCGTCTTACCAGACAAAAAGAAGTGAGTGAGAAATTAAGGCCATGGGAGGTTAGGCTGGGGAGCTTCTGAGCGGAACGTGATGCAGAAAGATAAACAACAACCAAAAAAACCCAGAAAGGTGGATATGGAGTTAAGAGAGGGAAAAGGAGCAAGAAGCAGCATTTTGTAATTTTCAAATGGCAAGAGCCACAGCATGCACACCCTCGCGCCGTACTTGTTAAGTGTCCTTACGCTAGGGGTCCAAATTTGTGCTTTCCAGCTCTGCACTTCCAAAGCATACCCATGCCTCACCAAAGACCACGTCCCGTTCTGTCTTCTCCACTTCCCAAGTTTATCCCAACCCTTTCCTGCCTTCCCGAGCCAGCCCTGCTCGCAGGCCCCCAGCCTGCCAGCTGCAGCCACCTCTAGGATCCCAAAGCCCTTTCAGCCTAGGCTTACTGCACCAGCCTCAGCGCTCGGAACATCCCACACCTGCCGATCTCTCATACACTCTGCACTCCTATTTAGAAGATATTCTGTGTTCCCCGACCTATCCAGGTCCCCTCCGACCTCAGCATATGGGCTAGATCAAAGGTTGAAATAGCTTGGGTTTTTTTCAGAGAGGACAGCCTGCAGCTGCTTTATTTATTTCTGCCATATGAGATATTCTCCCTCAATCAGATTAATCTGTTTTAGAAACCTAAGACTAAGAGGAATTGCCTGAAACATCAAAACCAACCCTGAAATAAATGGCCAGCCTGGACATGTCTTCTTCGCGGGCCACTACTATCTATAGGCCATGAAATACTTCTCAACTCCCTCTAACAGATGCAGGGCTTGCTACAGACTCCCCTCCCTTAACCAGAATCTCTCTGTGCCATTTAATACTATTACTGAGCCTATGGGAGGCAGGACAGAGGTGAGAAACACGTATTATTGTTGATTCTTATCTGAACTTTATAATAGCACCTTTGCTGTTGATTTGGATTTCCAGCGCGTGATAACTAGCTGACCAAGTTGGGGCTGATTTTACAACTCAGATACTTAACAATAATGGTTTGTTGGTTTTCATCAGGACCCGTAATGCTACACCAATTTAGCAATACAAGAGGACTGAGGTTCCCTTCTCACACCACTAGTTAAAAAATCAGTGCCTTAGTTCTAACTGCATACTCTTTTAGACAAATGTATACTTGTTCCGATGTAAATGTTTTCCCCTGTGCTCACGCAATCAGGCAATTCTGTACTAGGAACAATCCGTGGATGATCATTCCAGCCATCGGTTGTATTGGAAAAGGATCGTGGACAAAACTACAGTATAAACTACAGACAATTAGTTGTAAGTCTTGGAAACCCCCACTTACAATTTTGGAAGCATGTGTTATGCTGTTGCCATAAGCCATCGCTGAGCTGAACCACCACGTTAGAGTATTAGAGCCCAGGCCAAATACATGTCTTTAAAAAAGTTTTGTGTCGATGGTGGTTTTGGATCACACAAAATACCTTTCTTCTCATGAAAACTGTTACAGTCCCATACTACCAGCTGCGCATTTACAGGCAATTCTGCACAGTTTATAAGGAGGAGGGTTTAGTTGACCCTGCAGCGTGTTTTTCTTTCCTTGCTGGAGTCCCTACAGACATGTCTGTATAGTGTAAGATGTCTAGTGGGACCGGGTGCATAACACAGCCTTTCCTCTCCTCTCCCACTGCGTGCAGGAGAAGTAGATGGGAGATTTCTGGAAAAGAGTCGTGCAGAAAATTTCCCACCACATCCCTATCCCACAATAAAATGGGAGAACGAAATGAAAAGCACAGATGTGCTCCGTACAATAAACTTTACCAGATAGTTGGGTATATTCACATCCTCTTCTAGATTTCCTCAGTTATTGTTGTGCAAAAACCCAGCAGCGCACATGGCTTTTACATGTATCTCACTCCAAGACAGCACTTGCAGCGAGGAGCATACATGGGAAAAGGGGACCGGGTACTATGGTGAAGGTTCATACCCAAGTACAGACATATGTGTATCTTCTAGGTTTAGGTCAAGCTGGACAAGATGGGTGGAAGGACTA